TTTCTTGACATACCTTGATAGGTAATTATGTTCAGCTGCTGATATTTATGATGATAATATAATACAGCATGCTTAACTTTCGACTTTGATTTGATAATGATTCTTATTAACATGATGCATTTTTATTTTTAGTGGAAGAGGGCAGATAAAAATAAATTTTACAACATTAGAAGTGTTCAAGGGATTTCCCTTTTATAACACAGAAAGAGATGATTAGAAGAAATAAACAGGGCTATAATTATTTTACTTGTTCTGTTCTACTTGCAGATGGTGAATCGGTGAATGAATTATTGTAATAAAGATTAATTATTTTCGTAGCCATTTTCCATTGGACGATTTTATTTTATAAAAATGAGCAATAATTAGTCCACACATTTCATTACGGATTTAAAAAAAACTGAAAATGTGTTAATTGAATTATAAAATGATTACAAATAATGCCGACTCATCCACCACCTTTTTTTTTAGGTCCGTCTGTGCTCTGTTTCAAATTTATATTGTTAAAATGGACTCTTAATCTTGAAAACTCTTAGTTGCCTCCTTATTCCATTTTCTATCTTAGGATTCTAAATTTGATGATAAATTATTGCAATTTAAAATTTATTTATTTGATCATTTTTTTTTTCATTTTGGCTTTCATCTTTTATTAATTGCAATAAAAGAATCATTGCAATTAATTCCAAAATCTAAATTAAAGGGACAAGAGAAGGAAGTTTTATTTAATAGAAAAGACGTTTCTTTGCTGCAAATTAAAATCATTTAATAATCTTAGTTAAGTTCAGTTTTCTGAAAACCGCTGATTCAATCCTTTCGTATTGAGAACCTCGTGATTCAATAGTTATTTAGAGGTTACGTCATATATAGCATCAATCACGTGCCGATTTCCTTAAGGGCGTCTTTCAAAATAATTTATAATTACATATTTTAATTAAACTTTCTGGAATTAAAAATACGTTTTTTGATTTGAATTTAAACGGTATTTTTTAAAATTAATAATGGTTTTAAGTTGCGATTTCACCACCTGTTTAATTTGAAAACAACTTCAATATTTAAAATTCCTTCTTAATTCAGAAACAAGGAAAATCATTGCAGGTTCTGATGATTAATTATCGAGAGTCACTAAGTACAATCTGAAGAAAAAATGCACTTAAAAAGGTGAGGAGGTCACGACCACAATATGATCGTTATGATTGATATTAATGTGGTAGGTGTTCCAGGGCTTTGTTATTTAAACAGAGCGCTACTTCAATTAGAAAAAAGTGAAAATGGAAACACTGTTTTATTAAAGTTTTATATAGCTCCTTTATCATGTTTATGCTTTTTTTTATTTTTTCGAGAAAAAAAATTCGAATGGATTTTAGAAAAATTAAAAATCACAAAAGTTAAACCAAAATAAATACCATCGGAACGTTCGACTTTTCAACACTTTAAACCACTAATTCTTACAACAATTCTTAAATAAAAAAAACTACTTTTCACATAAAATAAAATATCTGTGATTCTCATCAAATCACCTACAGAATTGCTTAATGCAGGTACACTGTATATTTTAAAAAAATTGCTTCGTTGTGTACAGTTGAACTGTCTCCCCATTCACTTCTGCTTCACAAACTTCTGAGTTAAGAATAAAATTATATATCTCTCATTGGTAAAAATTTGTGATTTCAAATGCTTCAATTTTCTATGAATTTTTTAAGTATCCACATCTGATTTAAACCACTTCTCGAATATATTTTTGAACAGTATTCTTGGGGTTTCTCTCTCACTACTATTAATATCTTAATTAGTGAGGAGTAAAGAAAGAGTCTTGGTAGAAAATTTACGTGCACTGGAACCCGCTATGTATCTTTGTAAGGATTTTTATGAAGTCTTAGTATCCAATATCGATATGGTAATTCAAATTTATTTTAGTTGTTTGAAATATTAAAAACATTCAAATCTAACATTTTAAGAATTTCCTCCTTTGAAAAGGAGCTTTGAGCATTAGTTGAACTATGCCACTTGTAGCACATTGAATGCAAGTTCCTCTAAAATACATTTTATATAATGAACCTAACAAACAAAGACAATGTTGTTACCTGCAGGGAACAGTACGTACTGATCATGTAATCTATCTGATTCTTTTATCACTTCTGGAATATTGAATACAGAAGGATAGACTGGTTTCCTATCAACCCTCAATCGCTGTATAGCCGATTTTAACATGCATCTGTAACATTTAATCCATTCTGACATAGTATCTTCTTCTTTTACGTGCCTGACCCATGCCTGGCGTAATCTTCTACAGATTTTATGTTGTTGTCAATATTAATTTCTTGTTATATAATAAAGTCATATTAGTTACGAGGGCTAATCAAAAAGTTAGTGGTCTAGCGCCATAAAATAAAAAACGCGCAGGGTATATCAATATATTTATATACATTCAGTTAGCATCATCTTGACAATCTTTATCATAAATTATAATTTTAAGTTTATTTTTTTAAAGAATTGTTGATGTTTCTGTATGCAATTGTATGTCCAGGCGGCGAAATACTACATAAGTGTATCTGAGAAAAAATATTCTGCCATGAACATTTGTCATCCATAAAACCACTATTTTACTTACATGGTATGACATAATTGCTCTATAATTTTGCAATTTTTACTCAATTCTGAAGGTTCATATATAATTTTTTTTTTCGTAATTTTTTTATGAAATAATTAAACAATCAAAGGGCTGTGTGGTTGGAGCCATTTTCAGACTATTTTGGTCTCCTTTAGAAGAAGAGCTCCATCTAAATAAATAAAAAAAATGAAAAAAGTTTTTAAAAAAATGTAAGAAATTTATTTTTGCCAAATAATGGTTGACAGCTTAAGATATCATATCTAAAAAAATAAGTTATATCTGATGGTTAATTTGTTGACCCCCAGCCTCCATAAGGGCTTTTATAACGTCAAAAAGGGGAAGTGGTTTTGTTTTCCGACATTCTATACATGTAGTTTCACCCTTGGAAAATTTGGCATACAACTAGGAAATGTTGAAACGGGTTACAAGGGAATAAAGAGCTTTGTTTTTAAATGCCGAAGGAGAATAAAGAGATGAAAAATACACAGTTAATGTCGGCTTGTGGTCAGTGTGTTCAAAGTTTGTCACGTCGAAAAGTGACGCTGATCATGTGTGATGATTATAGATAAATGCTTCGAAAAAAAACAATTCATGCTATTATAACCAAGTTAAAATCTTTTTCTAAACCAAAGAAGGATAACTTTTACATCAAACGAATACGTTTCAAAGGAAATATCGAACTAAGTTTGGTTATTCACCTTTGCTCATTCTTGTGTAGAATTTACACGAAACTTCTTTACAAATTGGTCCATTGTTTGTCTTTCTTCTTTGAAATTACTATTTTTTTACAGTGAAAAAAAAATAATATAACATACACGTTATACACAAGTTTCATGTCTTGTAGTTTTTTTTAAATACTGTTGACATTCTAGTGATACCTTTAATTTTATTCGATTAATGCAAAGGGTCTACGACGAATGGGACCAGTAGACATTTGGAATACAAATTGATAAGTCGGAAAATGATGAGGTTATACAAAGATCAATGCTTCTATTTATTTTTTCTGAATTCTACTATAATTGGATATTTCTCTAAAATTCTTCAAAACGCAACTACTACATTTTAAAATATTTTCATAATATATAACTTAGTACATCTTTAGGATACCTAATGTAATGTTTATTAGATTTTGACTTAAAGCAATATTTTTGAAAAACTTATTAAAAATTTCATGTTACTTACCCTATCTTTAACAAAAGTATGGAAGTCAATCCAAGAATCGAAAATCTTATTTATTAGAGGTGCAAATGCTGCTAAGTTTTCATTAAATCTTTTTATTAATATAAATCAGTAGTCTAATTTAATGATTAATACAATTTTCTCAATTCTCCAAAACGAACCAAAATTATAGATGGTCTAAAAAGATATTTCTATTTTAGAAAAAAAACACTGTCTTATATGAGTATTCTGGTCCGTGTTCCAAAAACAAATTTTGTATTTTAAAATTTTGAGTTTTTAATCTACCGATTGTTTAGAAAGTTTACGCATAACAATCTAAAGTTCAGTACAGTTTTACGACTTTTGATATTTAAAAATTTATTTCAAACGTTCAAATTTCAAATTAGATTTTTAGAAATTTAGAATTTTTGATTCAAACAAACAACTTTTAAATAATTAAAACACTTTTAACTTTTTGTTTTTTGAGAAGTTTACTTCAAATATCCAAAATATCAAATGCCAAACCTGGTTTGAATTTTGAAACTATTTCAAAAACTCTTTTGGTGAAGCAAAATAGCTTTAATATAATAAGAATATTGAACTGATATTCAAAATTCAAACCGGGTTTTGAAATTTGATATATTGGATATTAATTTAAAGTAAAATTCTAAAAACTCAAAGTGTTTTGGTTATTTGAAATTAGAACATTTGAATCAAAATTCCAAACTTCAAAAAATCTAAAACGTTTCAAAGTTGAAATTAAGAAGTTCGAAGTTAATTTTAGATAATCAAAAGACGAAAAACATCACTGAACTATATATTGTTAAGTGTAAACAAATAGTAGATTAAAAACTCAAAAGTTTATAGAAAAAAACCGATTTGGGAAATTTGAATTTTGAACATTTCAGGTAAAAATCTAAAATATGAAAGTTTAAATCTTGTTTAAAAATTTGAAAATTTAGGTTTTTGAACTGAAATATTAAATTTCAATAAACCAAATCAGTTTGAGTTTTTGAAATTTGAACGAATATATTAAGATTCTAAAACTCTTAATCATTTTAGAAATTTGAATTGTTAAGTGTTACACGGACCTATTTTGATTATACATTTTACATATCGACCTTACTTTTTATCACTGAAAAATTTTCTTCTTACATTTAATCACGAAAATTTTAAATATTCTAATCTTGTAATGTTAATATTTAGCTTAATTTGAAATTCACAGTTGACTTTTTTGTATCCGTTATAAATTTAGCCGTTTTTACAACAAAACCTTGGAAAAAGGAAAGTTTATAGACGATCTTAAACAGAATAAATAGAAATTTCCTTAATCATGAGTAAAGTGTTTTGACTGGCTATCACCCTGATTTGAATACAGCGCAGATTGTTCCTATTAACAGTAGCATCAATCACTCCCCTGCTGAACTTATAAATGTTTGTAAACATTCTTTTTGTGCATTCAAAGTCTCCTCCTAGTTCCAATACTCCTTCTTGCAGAACATGTCCTTTTCCAAGAGCAAGTCCCGTTTGTACGAATATTCTAGAAACATTCTGTAGAGAATGAAATAAAACATAGAATGTGTCACCTGATATAACGGGCTCAGATGTCAAAAAGAATCCTTTAGATCCTTCATAGCAATGTCTTGGAAGGTGTTGAAAGTCAATTTTCATAGACGTGCTTATGTTTGCTGGAGGATTTCTAATCACAGTTTCTTTGCTTTCAATATCACCTTCGAAATAAGGATCTTTGAGCTTCTGAAGTCTGCCTTCTAGGGATGAGTGTAAGCCAACATGTTGAAAAAGGGTTGGTTGAATAAGAATCCTTGATTTTTGATTTCGTCTTTTATAGAATTCGATGTACGTGTCATCAGCTGGTGTGTGTTCGTACCACTCTATAATCATTGTTGCTAAGGCCATTAAATCACGTGATCGAAACAGCTTTCCTATAAACCCCAATTCATTGAACTCCATGCATACCCAGTGGGTGACTCTCTGAACAACGGTATTTTTAATGGTGCTATAAAACCTGGAGACTGCCATCAAATCGTCTTCCAACTGAAGGTAATAAGAGGATAAATTCTGGCACTGAATAAGTAGGAAACTAAAATCTAAATTCTGTTTCGATCTCCAAATCAGTTTCTTGTCCCTTTCAGCTTTGAGCTTATCTATTAGAGGAGGATAGAATGCCGAAACTTTAGGTGGATGTAAAAATCTAATGAGACATGTTCGTACCAGGTTTGGATATTTTAGTCGTATTTCCATCTTCGTATTTTGCCTACATGTCTTGTCTTGGTCAGCTAAGTAAATGACAATGACCACTTCCTGTCTTTGTCCTCTGGATAGACCACTGACCACAGAGTCTAGTGTACTCAGGATGTACTGTTGTTTCTTTCTACAAACTGTGGGTATACCGATTGTAAGAAATCCTGTCAATAAATAAAAACAGAAAGTGAAAATTCTACCAGAGTGTGGCTAGAAAGTGTATTTTTCAAAAGTTGGCAATGAAGGGCAAATGTCTTGATTTTTTTTCTAAAAGTCTTTTTTTTTGCATTAATTAACGCTATATATAGCGTATCTAAGCTAAAACAAACATACGAGATTAAATGTTTATTTTCATATTTGTTATTTACTTTCAAATTTAAATTTTCATCGATTTTGAGCTTAAATATCACCACGTCTCTATACTAATATTGTCTTTAAACTGTGACTGATATTTAAATGTGGAGTCGGAAAATAAATCGGTAATTGTTTTAAATCCCTGATATCTTAGAAACCCGATTAATTCAAGTTGTTTAAGATAAGCCCTATCTTAAAAAAAAGTAAAAAAAAAAATCTTTTCTTTTCTTTTCTTTTCTTTTCTTTTTTTTTTTTTTTTTGTTTTTTTTTTGGTCAATTTAAGATAGTCTGAACCTATCAAAATTACGTCATGTTTATGACTCTAAAATAAACAATGCAAATAAAAACTGCATGTAAATACTGTTCATTAGCTCCATATATTTCATGTACTCCCTTTCAGTAGAATATATTTGGTTTTGTTAATGAGAGTATACCTTATAGATAAGCCCCGTAAGAAGTTTTCATTTCCTTAATTACATATTATGGAAGAACTAGTTTCCTTACCTGGACGTTTGTTCTGGCACGATCCCTCCATTGCATTTTGTGTGGCTACCTTGAGAAAATGTTTTCTATTCTACAATAACAAAAATATCACTTCATTAATTTGATAAGCAATTTATTGAATAGAAAAATGATTGATTGTGAAGAAAATAAACCAGTTACTAGTGTAAAGATTACTTGTAAACACATCTTTTTTTTCTACAACTTTACAGTTTACTACAATTTTAAGCATATTCAAAAGGGTGAAATCTTATAAGTTAAGTAAAATGATAAAGTGCTATGAAGAATAACCAGATGAATCTCGATAAGACAGTGTGAACCAACTCTAGATCTTTAGTAGTATTGATCTCTACATTTATTTTGCGCCTTGTTATAAAATCAGTTGCCTATTCGATTTGATGAGACGATATGAGTTACCTGTACTTGAATAATGGAGATTCCATTTGACAACTTCTGTTGCCCTTTTCACAAAAAAAAAATCTTACGACTAAAATGAAAATTGACATTCCTGTAATTTTTGGTAAAATAAAACAACAATTATTAGAATAATAATTGTATTTATGTATTGAATGCGATAAGTTAGTTAGAGGTTTTCGATAGGATTAATTTTGGTAAAATGTGAAAATTCTTAGATCCACGCCTTGGTTGATGAATTACGTGTGATAGAAGGTGTAAGGTCACGTGGTCAGCTAAGCGAGTCATTTATTTGTATTGTGATAACCCGCATGCTGACCACGCTAAAATGAAGCAAGTCTATTTTGAAGATTTGTTACAACGTCTGTGATTGTTTAACTTAGCTGAACGTGCCCTGGCTTTCTGTCGAGATGAAATTCCAAAGAATTGAAAGGAACAAAACATTGTCCGTGTTATAAAGTGCCGTTTACAAGAACGTGTGGATTTTCTGGTTTATTGTTTAGTGATGCGGTGGTACATAATATGTGCGCGGGTTATCATATATATTACCAGATTACTGTATGATACATTTGGTGCAATTTTCTGCCGATATGAACTTTATTTATGAGCAGATATTCATGAGAAGAACATATTTTATGGAGCTACTTTATTGCGACATCAGACGTGGAACTTTTTCCTACAGTCTGAGTTTTGAAAGGATTTCAAAGTAAGCTATTTGTTACTGGTTGAACGAAACAAATGGATACCTTTAATGATTATTATCTCTATATCGATCTCCATGATCAGTGGACACAGAGTTTGATCAACAAAAAGTTGTGATAGATAACGAACATCCTGCAAGTATCTGCTGCAAGCATCGCTATTTCACAGCTGGGGCCACAGCGGGAGACCCTGAACCTCAACGACTCGGGCGTTTTAGGTCCAGCCGGCGTACACCTGTGCTGCTTCTCCGCGTGCATAAGAGAGTTTGCCTTCCCGTGTAATTGAGGACGAAGGCCAGTATTATGTTTACTAAATATAAGTGATTTACAATTATACATAACGCGTTTGGGGTTTCCCAAATAGTTTTTCTGTACAAGTTATCACTTTCATTTATTCAAAGGCATTGTTTAATACTCAAATCATATATACTCTATCATGCTCTATGGTGTAAGCTTTTAAGTTAGCAACTTTATGCAAAGTTATTTAGTTTTGTTGAACTACAAGAATTACCTATCATAGTCTGCATATTTCAAGTTTTTGCATTCAACATGATGTAAAACAGCTAGGCAGCATCGTTAAGACACTGTCCCTCCTTAACAGGCATCTGATAGGTAATGTCAGCTATCTTGTACAGTTAGTTGAGAAATGTGTATTGTAATCATGTTAATACAGGTACCAACATCTCATTTTCACTCTTGGGAGTTTAAGGGTTGTGGACTAAGCTTTATATACATAGTTCAAATAGTTACTATACTGTGGTATTTCTTGAATTACCCGTTATTGTTTGATCAGTTTTGGTACAAAGTTTATAGGTAACATTTCATGTTTTGTATATTGATAAATATTGAATGAATATTGTACATGTAATATGTAGTCAAAATATATGTACTAAATTGGTTGGTGTAGACAATATTTACATGATTACTCAAGATGTTTATCATTTCGGTACATAGTGGATAATTTATGTACTTATTGGGTTGGTGTTGTTAATGGTTTAAACGGTTGATACAAAGTTGATACTTACAAATTGAATCGGTGTTACTCAAGTGGTTGATTATTTTAGTACATGGTACAAAGTTTATAATTATGTACTAATGGGATCAGTATTACTCTTTCAAGTTTACGGTTTTGATAAAAAGTTGATATGTAGCTATTTGATCAGTGTTGCTTAAGTTGTTTATTGTTTTGGTACAAGGTTTTACCTATTGAGTCAAAGTTATTCATTGGCATATTAATTGTTTATTGGTTTGGTACACAGTAGATAGGTACTTATCGGGTCAGAGTTACCCATATTGTCTGGTACACAGTAGATATTTACTGATTGGATCATAGTTACCTTTGTTGTTTATTGTCTGGTACACAGTAGATTTGTACCTTTTGGGTCAGTATACCCATATTGTTTTGGTGCACAACATTTGTACTTGTGGGTTAGTATACCCACATTGTTTTGGTACACAGTAGAATGTACCTTTTGGGTCAGTATACCCAAATTTGTTTGGTTTTGGTACACAGTAGATTTGTACCTTCTGGGTCAGTATACCCAAATTTGTTTGGTTTTGGTACACAGTAGATTTGTACCCTTTGGGTCAGTATACCCAAATTTGTTTGGTTTTGGTACACAGTAGATTTGTACCTTCTGGGTCAGTATACCCAAATTTGTTTGGTTTTGGTACACAGTAGATTTGTACCTTTTGGGTCAGTATACCCAAATTTGTTTGGTTTTGGTACACAGTAGATTTGTACCTTCTGGGTCAGTATACCCAAATTTGTTTGGTTTTGGTACACAGTAGATTTGTACCTTTTGGGTTAGTATACCCAAATTTGTTTGGTTGTGGTACACAGTAGATTTGTACCTTTTGGGTCAGTATACCCAAATTTGTTTGGTTTTGGTACACAGTAGATTTGTACCTTCTGGGTCAGTATACCCAAATTTGTTTGGTTTTGGTACACAGTAGATTTGTACCTTCTGGGTCAGTATACCCAAATTTGTTTGGTTTTGGTACACAGTAGATTTGTACCTTTTGGGTCAGTATACCCATATTGTTTTGGTACACAGTAGATTTGTACCTTCTGGGTCAGTATATCCAAATTGCTTTTTTTTTGTTGGATGCTCATACTGACAATCAATTGGCGTCGTATGAAGCTTTTCGGTTTATTGTTGGGTCTCAGTTACACACATTGTTAATTGTTGGGTCTCAGTTACTTATATTGTTTATTGTTTGGGAGAGAGAGAGTTACCCATATTGTTTTATTGTTGGATGCTCATACTGACAATCAATTGGCGTCGTATGAAGCTTTTCGGTTTATTGTTGGGTCGGAGTTACTTATATTGTTTATTGTTTGGGTCGGACTTGTCCATATTGTCTATTGTTGGGTCAGAGTTACCTTTATTGTTTATTGTTGCGTCAGATTTATCCATACTGTTTATGGTTCGGTCGGAATTACCCATGTTGTTTATTTATTGTTGGGTCAGAGTTACTCATATTGTTATCGAAGAGTCAGGTAACCCATATTGTTTATTGTTAGATCACAGTTACCCATATCGTCTATTGTTGGCTGGGAGTTACCCATATTGTTTATTTATTGTTGGGTCAGAGTTTCCTATATTGTTTATTGATTGGGAGTGTCTATTGTTGTCTGCTCATAATGACAATCAATTGACGTCTTATGAAGCATATCTATTCATTGTTGGGTCGGAGTTACCTATGTTGTTGATTATTTACTGCCTCTAATAACAGTCAATTGGCATCTTATGTAGCATATCATATCTGTTTATGGTTGTGTCAGAATTACCCATATTGTTTTTATTCGCTTATAATGACAATCAACTTGATCAAATGGTGTCTTATGAAGCACATCTGTTGGTTGGGTCAAAGTTACTTATAGTGTTGATTGTTAATTGCTCGTAATAACATTCAAATTGTGTCTTATAAAGCATATCTAACTTTTGGCACGGTTTTTCCTATTGAAGCTAATATTAATGTTATTAATAGTACATTCATTCTAAAGAAAGTTTCCTTTCTTTTGTTGTTGCATTGTTTGCTCATGTAGACCTAATTTTTCCTGGCACTTTGTACTTGGATGAGTAATGATAAAAAATTAACTTTAAAGTACATTGTAGATACATCCCGAACAATCGGTGAGAACACAGATCCTCAGGAAAGAATCCTTATAACCCTCATCATAAAATTCCACTAATTCCAGTTAAGAGGGAACTGAGATAATCTCCATAGCCTAGGGAACCAAATGAAGCTGTGCCTACTGCCGTGAATTTTATATATTATATCTATATTTAAAAGTTCAAAACTTGGTTGACACTTTTTGTCTTTACCATGCAATAACCTTATATAAGATGCAGATACATGTATGTGCCAGCAAAACTGCAGCAGTGCTGCCATGGATGTGCCCTTGATCAGCTGAATGACCAGGATATCCGCTAACGTTGGTTGAGAAAGCACCCATACTAGCTAGATCTTGAAACTTCGTTTCTTATAAAACATTTGCAGGTGAGTCAGCAAGCAAATTGTATTACAGATTCCAATTATCCACAGCACAAATGATCCCCTTTTACAACTGACCTTTCTATTAATAAATTAAGGATAGGATTCTCACTTCTTCAGTTTTAAATACTTATGGAAGGGATATGTCCTTCAACAGGTAAACAATCCACTCTATATGCTAGGACTATCCAGTCAAAGGAATGAGTAATCTTGTTTGGAATCAAGATTAAAGATGTGACAAATTTGAACATGACAAAATCAGGATTAATGTTCCTTTAATGCAACAAATTAAATAATGTGTCTTTAATAATAAACATAATCTATAGGGAAGGAATTTGTCCTTAAACAAAGTATTCTTACAAATAAAATCATAGGTTATGTATCTTGCAAGAAAATATTTTATCGTTTGCTTAAATAG